AGGCCTAGTACAGCAACCGACAGTGTCTGTTTTTTAACCTCAGTAACATCGACGATTCCTAAGAAGGTTCAAGGAACCTTAGTGGAAATAAGGGTAGTAGTAGCAAAAATGCGTATGATTTTGCAATTTATTCCATGCACAGTTACTAGTTTAAGCTGTAAAAAATTTTGATTAGCATTTGACATTGCACATATACTTGGAATGGTTCTGTGCACGCCAGAAACTAGTTTAAAAAACTGGATCTACGTTAATGTCCGACGGTGTGGCGACTCAACAGGCACGGTACTCGAAGCATATCAGTCAGGCAGGCACTGCAACAGCTGCGCAACAAGCGCAAGACATCGTCATTCTCCAGTGTTATGATCGGAGTGGCGCGAAAAACTGAGCGGGAAAGTGTACCTCATATGAACTGCTCATAGAAGGCAGATCGGATCAGTGAGGCAGTATTATTGCATCGGAATTACCAGAGGTACTTCAGTACCGTACCGAGTCATTAGCGAAGAACGTCACCGTAGCCACAGCGCGAAGAATACCGAGGATAGAGGTGTTTTGTATTTTGGTGTTTCTACAGGGAAAATACTGAAGGCCGTGTAAAGTCTTGTATTACACTGAATGTCTTGTATTTTTTTAGTTTTGGTTGAATAAATGTTTTTTGGCTTGACAGCTCAATATCAGCACCGTTCTTAGACCTTTCAGAGATCTAGTAACATTCAATGAACGTAACAGGTGATAAAATCGCATTTTTTTTGCAAATGCTGTGTTGACGCACCTTTCCGTGGATGATCACATCAACAGATCCTTTGAGGACGACATACCAACAATTACCCTCATCGCCCTGCCGGAACAGCACGTGTCCGGCATGCTGATGCTGCTCGAAAAATACAACTGCTGCTAGCTCTCGCTTCACCATCGTGCTTAAATGTGTCAGTGCCTTTACGTGCAATAGTTCCTCATAGACGAGCTCCAGCTCTTCAAGTGTTCTCTCCGAGGGCCTATAAATTAAACGAACAGTTAGATACGTATATCTAGAATTGGAAAGTTCTACTAGACTAAGGTTAGATGCTGGGTATACTGATGTAAGCCTCTTACAGCTGCACGAATGAAAAATCGAATACCCGGTTCAAGGCTTATCTATACATATGACAGCCATAACGGTAGGTTGCTATGTTTTGTCGGGATTTTATAGATGATCGGATGTGGGTTTATTTCTTTGAGGCGTCCATACTTGGGACTCAGGCGTACGCGGATGGTGATATTAAAACGGTAGGATCGCACATAGGGCGACACATACTCCTGAATTTTTAGTCTCCTAGCTTTTCTATTCTTCAAGTTGAAAGTGGGTGACAAGAAGTAAGAACACACAGACACAAGCACACACAGGCAGCCTCTTGCCAGTATGCGTTTTTGCATTTGCATATATGCAAAAACGCATAAAAATCGTGAGTGGCAGTACTGCGAATTGGGGGTGTTACGTCAGTGATAGCAACCCGAAGGGTCATTAACTTTTCGCTTTAAAAAACAGTCGGTTTGGTTTGATTTCAGCGAAAAAATCAAACAAATGAATTAAAATTTATAACAATCTGTTGCAAATTTCAAAAAGCTCAAAAATTCCAAAAGCTTCGTACGAAATACTTATCCAAAACATACGGTTTACAGAGTATCATGCGGAAGAGTGAATCCGGTCCGATAGTACTCAAGAAGAATATTGCTGCAGCAACATCGCTAACATGTGGCGCTACCTCTTGCTCG